TGGATGAAAAATTTTCTCAGGTTTTGATTGTTTGGAAACATATTTTTCTTTCATTTTTGAAGGATATTTTCACTGGGTATAGATTTTTAGATTAACCGTATTTTCTTTTAGCACTTTATACTATTCCATCATTTTCTTGATTTTATCATTTATGTTGGGGAGTCAGTTGTTAGTCTTAATGTTCTTCCTTTGAAAGTAACGTGTATTTTTTCTCACTCTAACTGCTTTTAGGTTTTATTATTTTTTTTTTTGTCTTTAGTTTTCAGCAGTTTTATTATGAGGTGTTTAGGTGTTGTTTTCTTTGCATTAATCCTGCTTGGGATTGATGACACTTCTTGAGAATATGTCTTGATGTCTTTCATCAGTTTTAGAAATTTTTCAATTACCCTCTCTTCAGCTATTGCTTCTCTCCCATTCTCTCTTTCTAATTCCATATATTTAGGCTTATTCACCATGTCCCATATGTCTCCGAGTCTCTATCTATAATTTTCTATTCTTTTCTCTCTCTACACACTTCAGTATGGATATTTTATACTGACTGATCTTCCAGCTTATTAATCCTAGAATTAGTTGTGTCTAATCTTATATTAGATACATTTATTGTGTTACATTCAGTTATTGTATTTTTTAGTTCTAGGATCTCAACTGCATTCCTTTTTAGAATATCCAAATTTGGTGATTAGCTAATACTCTACCACAATCCCAATACTAAATGTTGCTGTTGTATGCAGATCAACCTCATTCAGTTACACTAATAACATAGTGTAAATAAAACTAATAAAATATCATTTTTGTTTAAGCCAGTTTTGGTTAGGTTTCCAGTTACATACAACAGAAAAATCTTAACAAAGTGTTGAGATCTCTCTCTTCGTGTCAAGATGGCTCTAGCAGCTTCACGTGTCAGATGCAGACATGACATACAGAAAAGAAGTGGGATGTTGGGGCACCTGGGTGGCTCAGTCGTTAAGCATCTGCTTTCAGCTCAGGTCATGATCCCAGGGTCCTGGGATCGAGCCTGTATCAGTCTCCCTGCTCAGCGGGGAGCCTGCTTCTCCCTCTCCCACTCCCCCTGCTTGTGTTCCCTCTCTCGCTGTGTCTCTGTCAAATAAATAAAATCTTAAAAAAAAAAAAGAAAAGAAGTAGGATGTTGTCTGTCATGCAATTCTTTTTATTAGGAGAGAAAACCTTTTCTAGAATTCCTAATTCAGAAGGCGAGGGTTGTATCACACACCCATACCTACGCTAACCCTGACACATGGAATGGGATGACAATGATTAGCCAACAACAATCTTTATTCATCCCTGAACTTGGGGAGAGGGTCATCTTCTCTGAGCAAAGGACTACTGTAGATGAACATCCAAACAAAATTCGGGCTTTCTCAGCAATGAAAAATATGAAAGGAAAAAGGTATTGGAAATCAACACTGTTGATTTACCTCACTAAAAGATATATTCATTTTCTGTAAAAGTGTGTGTGTGTGTGTTCATAGAAAATATCAGGAAGGGTACATATCAATCTGTTAACAGGTTTAAAATTTGAAATGGGACTCTATGGGGGTGGTATATCTTTACTTTTGGATAGCTTTACAGATTCTTTACTTTTTATTTATAAAATTTTTATGAGTTTATATTACTCTGGTCATTTAAATTTAAAGGGCTGCTTTGATCTTAAAATGAGCTCCTCAGAAATGAAATTAGGATTTTATTTTTTAAAAGATTTTATTATTTATTGACAGAGCGATACAGAGAGAGCACAAGGAGGCAGAGCAGCAGACAGAGGGAGAGGGAGAAGCAGGTTCCCCGCTGAGCAGGGAGCCCGACCAGACTCTGGGATCATGACCTGAGCCGAAGGCAGACGCCCAACTGACTGAGCCACCCAGACGCCCCTAAAATTAGGATTTTAAAAAAAGTCAGAGAAGCATATGTTGACAGAACCCATTTCAAGCCCTGGCCCTTAGTACCATCACTAAGGTGCCACTGGCAGGTTTATCCCTACTGGGAATTTGGAGGCATAAGACTACCAGAGCCTGATGCCATCAAATATTTAAACCATCCAACTGCCTCCCCTTACACTCTCAAAGCAGCCTTCACATCATAAATTGGCTTCCTGTGCACATTTTCCTACAAGGGAAGAATTTGCTGGACATGGCAATGTGAGAATTCTGGCTCCCTTGGCAGTTCCATTTCTCATTGTATATTAATTCATTGGTTCTTTGGCTCAGATAGCAGGATCGGAGTTGAGTTAGTTATGATCTACTTTCCAACCCTCCAACACATAGGTTCTTTCTTAATGCTGTTAAAGTCAAGTTTATGATCCTGGACCATGATTAATTCACCAAGGTTAAGTGTCACCTCTGAGGCCACTTGGCAGCTGGCCAGCCAGCCTGCCCTCATGACACTCCTGTCTCTTCAAGCACGTTTCTCTCAGGCTCTTGTGCTTTCTAGCCACATTCATCTCAATAGACTGTCTCCTTCTTTATCCTTCATTATGCCTTTTCCTCTATGATTGTCTCCCTAATTCTACCTCTCTCTCCTCCTAGCTCACCACCTAGCCTTCCTTTATCCTTTCCTTTTTTCTTTCTGTTTTTCACCTTAATTAACCATGAGGTTGAATAATAAAATGTACCAGAACTATGTGCCAAGTGCCATGTGCTGGGCCATACAAGTAAATTATATTCTGACTTCACAGTAACTCTGAAATGTTTTCATTCTTATTTCACAGAGGAGAAAGTAGAGTATCATAAAGTCTAAATGGCTGTGTTTGATAAAGAAAGGTTTTTGCTGCTTAATTTTCAAAGTCAATCAATTAAATGTTTTATATTTCCTTTATCTTAGAAAAATACAATTCAAACATTTGTATATAACCTCCATCTTATTTTTGCCTGTGAGATTATTGTCCTAGAAAATAATTCACCTTGGGTGTGTTTGTTTTTTTCTTGAGTAGGAGATAGAATGGAAGAGAAAAGAGACAAATTGGAAATGTCCCTTTGAGAAGTAGGGCTCACCAGTGCTCTTTTCTCCCTCCTTGTCCTCTTTGCTGAGGACAGGGCTTGACCCTGATATCTCTGAAGCAATCTTAGTCTTCTCCATGGAGGAGATGGCCTTCTCTGTCCAGCCAGGATGAGTGTACTTTCTGGATTTGTGCAAAAGGAAGAGATAAAATGTTCAGCCCCTAAATTTGTAACTTTCAGTAACTTGGAGATGGAGGTTGCAGTAAAGTTTGATCTGCTCCTTGGAAGATCACTTCTAATTATTTGGATGTTGAATTAAGCTGCTCAACTCCAGCAGGTGTTCTCCCCATCATTCTGCAGATAGTGAGGTAGAAGAAGAGAGAAGGATCTTTTCTATACTACCTCATATGGGGTTTGGGAGGAGCAGAAGAGAAAACAGGAGTTTCCAGATGGGTTCCAGGCCCCTCCACTCCTACTCCATGGAGTAAAGCTGCTTGTCTTCTGGATGCTCAAATCGCTGGATCTGGGTTATAGGCTGGAGGAATACCAGCAGCCCTGGACTGAGGACTGGAGCAAGGCAGCGGAGAGGTCCCAGGTCTGGTTGAAAATGGAGGGTCCAGACTTTAGTGGGTTCAGCACCAATGACAGAAAATTTAAACAGCTGAAGCTGGCCCTCGGGCTCAAAGTCTCACAGTTCAGCCCCACGCCAGAACCCCACCCCTACCCGACTCCCGCACTTGCTATTCCAGGAAAGGATCTAACCCAGCCCTTGGGTGACTGGACCCCAGCACTTAAAGTTCACTGTAAGCCATGGCTTAGTTTCCTTCTAAGGCCCTTTTGAATATCTTCACTTACGTGTCTATTCCGCAGTCACCTAGTAGAGTGGAGTCCGCCTTGGAGTAACTCTTTTTTTTCTTTTAAAGATTTATTTATTTATTTGAGAGAGCGAGAATGAGAGAGAGAGAGCACATGAGAGGGGGAAAGGTTAGAGGGAGAAGCGGGCTCCCTGCTCAGCAGGGAGCCCGATGCGGGACTCGATCCCGGGACTCCAGGATCATAACCTGAGCTGAAGGCAGTCGCTTAGCCGAGCCAGCCAGGCGCCCTGGAGTAACTCTTAAGGTCTTGCTGATTTGCATACATCCTCATACACTGAGGCTTCTCCGTTCTGGTTTTATTATAAATGAATTGTTCAGAGGAAGAAAGAAAAGAATTGTTTCAATTCTTTTCCTCATCTTTCCAATTCTTCTTTCCCCCATTGCTAGGGTCTCAATCTGGCAATTTCCCCAAGGCCCAAGGAGCTTGCCTGTATGTGTGGTGGTGGTGGGGGGGCAGACTCCTGACAGCCAGGGGTTTGTTGGGGCATTCTGTATGACTTTCCCCAGTTAATTTCCCCCATATGCTTGGCTCCTGAAAGATCTTTTCGAGGCTCACAAGGAGTTTGCATTTTGTGTTAGCACATAAGGGTCAGAACCTCTGGGTTGAAGTGTCTGGAGCTCAGGTAAGAAGCCATGACTGGCGCCTCAAGACTGCATAGGGGACGGGACCCGGATATGAAGAGAAGGGTGAGGGGTAGTGGAGTGAGGACTCATTTTGAAATGAAAGGAGTCCTGGGTCTCTAAGCAGCTTCTAAAAATACCAACTCTCAACGCTGGGGGGGGGGCGGGAGAGGGGAAAATCGAGCGTGAGAAGAATGAGGATGGAAAGAGGTGGGGTGTAAGAGCCCTTCTTCAGGTAGATCTGATTTCAAAGACCCCGCCTGCATCCAAGAACCTGCCGGACGCCACACCTTCTTCTGCTTCCTCAGCTGGCTTCATCTCCAGCGGTGTCGGTGTCCGAGCCCCAGCCCCTCCTGATGACCTTTCTTTCTACCGGCAAAAGAGTCCAACTCCTCCCAGCCATTCCTATTGCTGCTGTCCAGCAAGTATGTCTGTGAGCCAGCAAGTGTGCGTATACACATACTGGACGTGTGTACACACACACACACACACACACACACAGAAATGACACATGAAAGCGGCTTGTAAGTGGCCAGTATTATACAGTGTCACGAATTTTCATTATTCTCAGTGCTCAAGGAAGTATGGACTGTGGCAGAGTCAGAGATTCACCCAGATATTTTCAGCACAGAGCATGGCACTCAGGGAGGGTTGGTTGGAAGGGTAAAGAACACAGATATCCAAAACGCACAGTCAAGCCACGCAGGTCATGTAGACACAGGACTCATTGATTTTCAAGGGTTCTCCAGCTACTTTAGCTTCCAAAAGCAGAGGAGTTGGGTCCCCCAAGAAAAGCGCACTGAAAAGCTACAGGGTGGGTGGAGCTTTGCCTGCTCAAGTTCAGCCCAGATGGTGGCGCTCAATAGCCGCCTCCCTCGTCCTGGAGGGCTTCAGCCCTTCCCACCACCAACGCCTTAAATCCTCAGCTTCCACATAAATGACCTTCACTAGATAGAGGTCGTGTTCCACGTTTCCTTGCAGCTTCCCCAGCGCTGGTTGAACTCTGAGGATTGGTCCGCCTCTCTCGCAGACGCCTTGGAGTCCCCGCCGCTGAGCTCCTCACCAGTCCCCTGAGATGGGCGGAGAGGGATTATCAAAGGGGGGAACTCCAGGAACTGAGCAGACCGGGGAAAAGGGTAGTTGTGCAGAGTGCTGTCTGTGTCCTGGCAGCAAGAGCAAGAACCTGAGGAACCAGTCGTTCATGCAAAATCTACCAACCCCATTCTAGCGTCCACATGTTTTCCCAACCTCGGAAGCGTTGCTGATAGGGTGGGACTCCGTCTCCCACTTTGCTCTCCCTTCTCGAGTAGCTCCCAGGGTCGAGCCCCTTCCTTCCTCCAGCCGGTGTGTGTGTGTGTGTGTGTGAGGAGGGCGGGGAGAGAAGGGGGCGGGATCCAGCCAGGAGACGCCAGGAGCCGCAGACATAGGAAGAAGCCAAGTGCTGGGAGATAGAGCTCCCCAGAGCTTGGGGTCAGGACGTCAGGCTTCAAAATCCCTTGCAAGTCCTGGGGGAACAAGGGAGCTTCCCGGCTAGCTCAGAGGCTGCAAGCGTCGTTGCCTCCCGAGGGTCACCCCTCCTTAAGCCACGCCCACGGTGTCTACTTCTCGGGAATGAGAGGCTAAGGTTTTGCGCTCTGGGCCCTCGTCGACGGCTCATCCTCCTCCCCAGGAGCCAGGCCAGCGCTCAGCGCTGCCCCACCCCCACGTTTGGAGATTGGCTGGACCCCTTCCTTCCCCCCTCCATTTCTCTGTTCCGCCCCTGGCCTATGAAACTCCACCCCTTCACCTTCTGCTGGCGAGGATTGGTGGACCTCCCGCGGCGGTGCCTAGTGATTGGTTCCCATGGATGATGGTAACCAGAGAGATCCCGCCCCCAGCAGGCGCTAGGGTCTGGGGGCACTGTTCAGCGGTGCTGGGGCTGGCGCGGCTTGAGCCGCCGCCGCACTGACTGCGCGGTCTGCGGACCATGGAGACCGGCGCCGGCCCACATCCGCTGCGCCTGTTGGTCTGCCTGATGCCGCTCTGTCTGGCGTTGCTTTTGGCACCAGGGAGGCCCGGGACCGCCGAGGAAGGTGAGGAGACTGGTGGCTGTTCTTGGAGCCGGGATGCCAGAAGATAAGGGGCTGGAGAACTGGGGTTCTGAGGGAAGGAGTCGTATAGAGAGACTGGAGTCTGTACTGGGGTTTGAAGCCAGCGGGCAGCGGGAAGCAAAGAACTAAAGAGACAGAAAAAAAGGTAGCTAAGCAATGGAAAAGAGAGGGGCATTGAGGAGATGGGGCTGGAGACCTGGGAGGCTGGGGAAGAAAGAGCCCAGGAACCGTGGGAGCCAAAGGCAGCGGTTCAGGGGCCAGTGAGACGGACAGGCTGAGCGAATGGAGGGGGGAGATGTGGGGGCGGGGAGATGAAGAGAGGAGAGGAGACAGGGAGGTGTGGAGGTGAGATTGAAGTACGGGACGACGGGACGGAGCCCGAACCGTGAGGCAGGAGGTGGAGCGCTGGTCGGGAAGGGGTGGCTGCGGCCGAGAGCAGCCCGACGTGCTGGCGAGGGAGCTGTCCGCAGTGCTGAATTCGGAGCCTAGACTACCCGACGCGGTCCGCGTTGCTGGGCTTGGGGCTGCCTGCGGTACCAGAGCCCGCGCCTTGCCTCTGACTCTGGATTTGGGGGAGCTGCACACTCATCTAAATCCAGAGGCGTCATATCCAGGTGCAGAATCCCGAGGAGCTGGAATCTGAATCGCTGACCGGGGGGTTGGGGCGCCGGATCTCTGAGGCTTTCCAATATGCTATTCCGAAGTGCAGTCAGTTATACCAAAACCGGGAAGCTGTCTGTGGTCCTGTTTACAGTCGCCCATGCCTCTGGAGCCAACCCTCTTAGAGACCCTTACCTTGGAGCCCCGCCCCCTTGTTTAAGCTCCAGCTTTGTAATCTTCCAAGACTTCAGAATAGCCTGGGCTCCTGTCTCTGAGCTGCTGCTGTGCTGTCCAGACCAGTGCTTCTTTGGAATTGATACTGACAGCAGAGGAGAGAAGAGATTTTTATTGCTCCTGCTGCTGGCAGAGTCTCTCCACTCATTTTTCCCAGAGCCCCTGGGAGTCAAACTGAAAAGGTTCAAGTCTCTTCCATCCCTGGTGACTTCAGAACTCAGAAGAGCCCCTGAGTATGAGTAATTCAGGATGTATGCAGAAATCCTCTAATATGCTTATGTTCTCCCTCTTCTGGACACTCAGCTATAATTTAGGGAGCCTAGGGAGGCGGGAGGGGGGCTCACTGACACCACCACCCCCATCTTAGAGCCAGTCTTAGAGTACTTCCATGAACTCTGTGGCAGGCTGAATAATGACTCTCCAAATATGTCCACATCCTAATCCCCAGAACCTGTGAATGTTATTCTAAAGGGCAAAAGACTTTGCAGATGTGGGTAGGGATCCTGAGATGGAGACATTATCCTGGATTATTTGGATAACCTCGATGTAATCACAATGGTTCCTGTAAGAGGGATGCAGGCGGAGTCAGAGCCGGAGGAGAAAGCACCTCGATCACAGAAGGAGATTGGAGAGAAGCACTTTGAAGATGGAGGAGGGGGCCACAAGCCAAGGAATCTAGGTGGCCATAAGAAGCTGAAAAATTCCAGTGGAAATGGAACCTCTGAACCTACAGATGGAGCCAGTCCTGCTGACACCCCGACTTCAGACCAATGAAGCTGATTTCCAAATTCTGACCTCCAGAACTGTAAAAGAATAAGTTACTGTTATTTGAAGCCGTGGAGTTTGTGATAATTTGTTACAGCAGCTACAGGAAACCTATACAGGCTCCTTCCCTAATTGTTGTGGCTACCTCTTTCTGGACTTGAGCTACTCACATCCCACCCCCTCATGGTAAGGTATGGAGTGGGAAAAATTTGTCTCTGTCCCCTCAGCAAATTTACAGTGAACTCACAAAAGGTTCCCTCTCACCTTCCTGACCTTCCGGTTTTCTGACATCTCTGTCCTTCCTTCTCCCTAGTCATCCTCCTGGATTCCAAAGCCTCCCAGGCTGAGCTGGGCTGGACTGCACTGCCAAGTAATGGGGTAAGTGTAACCTTTCCCTCCCTGTCCCAGGAATCTTCTGGTGGTCTGGGATTCAAATCCTTTAGCTCCTTGTGGTTACAACAGCATAAAATGCTCCTCAGAGCACGTGGTCTCCAGGAGCACTGGCTTCAAGCCAGAGTGGCCTATTAGAAAACGTTGAGTCTTCAGTCAGTCCAAGAAGAAAAAAGAAAAGGGGGGGGTAAGATAGTGAGGGCGAAACTGGCTGTGTCTAGCAAAATGTACGTGTCATCTAGATGAGCCAATGCTGGACAATGCCTTGCACGTAGTAGATCCTCTAAGCAGTGTTGTTGATTGATAGATTGACAGAACAGGCAAGATTTAAAATCCTAAAAGAGACTTGGAAACTAGGGCTGGGGGTGGGGAGATGTGGCTGTGTGACTGCAGCCTGGTCACTGAGTGGGCACCTGGTGGGGAGCCAGGAGACTTCAGGCACCATTCCCAGCTCTGCAGCTAACTCGACGTTCATATCCAGTCAAATCACTCTTTCTCTCTGGAGCCTCAGTTTCCCCACCTATCAAATTATGGATTTGGCTCCGTTGTCTCCAACATCTCTCCCAGCTCTTCATCTTTTATAATTTCAGGGGCCGGAGGTGGGGGAGAGAGAATGCGTGACGATGGGGAAGGGGGTTTTCAGCTTTCGTCACCGCCAGGGCTCGACCTCCTGGGGGCGCCTTGGCTCTGAGCTTCCCACATCTTTGTTCTCCTCCCCAGTGGGAGGAGATCAGCGGCGTGGACGAGCATGACCGTCCCATCCGCACATATCAGGTGTGCAACGTGCTGGAGCCCAACCAGGACAACTGGTTGCAAACTGGCTGGATCAGCCGTGGCCGCGGACAGCGCATCTTCGTGGAGCTGCAGTTCACGCTGCGCGACTGCAGCAGCATTCCGGGCGCCGCCGGCACCTGCAAGGAGACTTTCAACGTCTACTACCTGGAAACAGAGGCTGACCTGGGCCGCGGGCGTCCCCGCCCAGGTGGCAGCCGGCCCCGCAAGATTGATACAATCGCGGCGGATGAGAGCTTCACGCAGGGCGACCTGGGCGAGCGCAAGATGAAGCTGAACACAGAGGTGCGCGAGATCGGTCCGCTCAGCCGGCGGGGTTTCCACCTGGCCTTTCAGGACGTGGGCGCATGCGTGGCGCTGGTCTCCGTGCGCGTCTACTACAAGCAGTGCCGCGCCACGGTGCGGGGCCTGGCGGCGTTCCCAGCCACCGCAGCCGAGAGCGCCTTCTCCACGCTGGTGGAGGTGACGGGAACGTGCGTGGCGCACGCAGAGGGGGAGCCCGGCAGCCCCCCGCGCATGCACTGTGGCGCCGACGGTGAGTGGCTGGTGCCCGTGGGCCGCTGCAGCTGCAGTGCGGGATTCCAGGAACGTGGTGACATCTGTGAAGGTATTCCGCGGACGAGGGGGTGTGGCGTGGGAGCGTAGCGCGCAGGTGGCAATGGGGAGAGAGCGTGCGGTAGATGAAAGAGGCAGGAGGGGGAGTGGAGAAGCTATGGGCTGTGGAGCGCAGAGTCCTGACCTTCTGTGGAGCTTTCCAGGGAGTCCAGCCAGGACCGTTGAGTGAAGTTACTGGGAGGTGAATCTGACTTCGTATGAGGGGGCATTAGGAGGGCCTTGTATTTCAGGCACTATGATCAGCACCTCACATAAGACGTCTCCTTTATTCTCGGCAATAAAGTAAGTCGCCAGTATCCCTATTTCGCAGATGAGGAAACGGAAGCCCAGAGGGATTAACATCTCACTTGCAAAGTTAGTAAATGGGGAACCAGGATTTGAACCCAGATTTGCCCAACTGTCAAGTTCTTTCTATTACATCATGCTGCCTCCCTTAGGCATAAGGAAGAACTGTACAGCAACCCACCTCTACTAGCTAACGGATTGTTTATAAAGAGTGAGCACCCTTTCACTGATGATATGCAAATCAGAGGCTGGCAGGGGGATTTTCTTGAGCTGGAGAGAGAGATCGGGAGGTTGCCCTAGGTGACTACTAACATCCCACCCAGCTCTCTGATCTGTGAATCACTGTGCCCCCTGTGGGAGACCCTTCATGTGCGGGTCCTGTTGGGTTCTCAGGTCTGTGTGGGCACCAGGACCAGACCTCTCCTTTTCTCCCCCATCTGTGGCTCTGAGGACTGAGGGTAAGGATGGGTGGGGTATGGATGCGTGCCCTTAATGTAGAAAGATCAGGTGATGCTTTTTCTAAGCTACAAGCTCTTTTGATGTCAGGACAACAGAAATGAGTCAGGCATAGTCTCAACTCTTCAGAAGCTCTACAGATGAAAAATGTAAAAATTTAAAAATCACAACAAGGTGATATATGATCTAACAGAGGGATTAATATAGTGGTGGGAAGACAGAGGAAGAAATGACTAAACTTACTCTTTCCTTTGTTCAATCGTCCATTCAGTATGAACTGAGAACTTACCAAATGCATTTAGGCGGGTTCATTATATGTATTTAGATGATGTCATCATCTCTTTCCTCGGGGGAACTTGTGGATTAGTAAGGGACTTGGAGGCATGAACCTTTCTGAACTCTCCAAGTAGGGTTAGGATCCACCTTTGCTCTCCAGCACCCATTGCAACCTCTACTTCTTGCTTTTTTTTTTTTTCAAATTGAAGTGTAGTTGACTGCAACCATGTATGCTCTGTGCTCACCCCATGGTATGCAGCGATCTACTTATGTGTGTTTCCACCACTGGACTAGGAACTGGCCTCAGGATATGGTAGGTGCCCAGGGGAAATGTACTGGGTGAAGCAGTGATTACCATGGCATGTGATACATATCCACAGAGAGTTGAGGAAGCCTGGCGAAGGGAGAAGCCAATTCTAAGGGTGGAGAGAGATGGCGAGAAGGCCTTTCTTCCAGGCCGCTAAAAGCATTCTCAGTTAAGAGACTGTCTGCAGAAACACGGAGGCATGTTTGGGGCTAGGAGCAGAGGGCATTTGGGGGTGTGAGAGGTGATGGGGCTGGAGAGGGGCAGGAATACATCATGAAGGGCCTTGAACATTAGAATAAAGAGCTTAGACTTTATGCTGTAGACCTATGTGGAGGATTTGAAGCAGGGATCTGACATGTTCAGATTTATATTTTCACAAGATCACTTGAGCTGTAATTACAAAGAAATGATTGGGGGAAGGAAGGATTAAAGGCCAGAAAAAGATGGTACAGTGGTCCAGAAGAAAGAGCAGAAGGTCTGAACTGAGGTAGGAGTAGCAGAGATCATTGAGACAGGAGGATGGATGGGATAATGGGACACATCCACAGCACTTGGTGACCATGTGACATGGGAGGAGAGGACAGTCCTTTTTGATTTGTATGCTTCTAGAGGATTGAATGGACAGAGGATCATTCACTGGGGTAAAGAACACGAGATACTGATGGACATCGAATTTATGGTGCCTGTGGTGCGTTCAAGTAGAGGTAGCTAGAAAGTAAGTCTGGAGCTCAGCAACAGAGACATAGGAACTATTTGAAGCCATGGGTATGGTTGGGACAGACAAAGGCGAGGTAAGAAGCAAGAAGGCCAATGATGGAGTCTCACACAACAGCAGTATTTAAGGGAGCATACATAGAAGAACTGAAGCCCAAAAAGAAGGACTTTGAGGAAGAATCAGTGGTTAGAGGAGATCCAGAAGAGTGTGATTTCATGGCAGCCCGGGGAGATGGAGGGGTCCAGGAAGGAACAGCTTATAGTATTGGTAAGCACTCAGGTAAGGAGAGGTTTGGACAGTGTCTGCTTGGTGGCCCAGGCAAGAGCAACGGAGAGAGAGAGAGTAATGCGGGGGGGACGAGAGAGAGAGAGAGAGAGAGAGAGAGAGAGAGAGAGAACCCGGCTGCAGTAGGTTGGGGGATGGTGAGAGAAGATTTTGACTGTAGATAGGAGCCTTGTTTATCTGCTGACGAAGGAGCTAGTGGGGTACCAAGTGGGGCCTGGTGGGAGCAGTCTGCCCCAGGGGGATATATTTTATTACTGACATGGTTTAGAATGGCTGATGCTTGTTGCTAATAAAGATCAGGCCATGTTTTAGCCAGTTTTATTGTTTTTTAAAATATATTTATTTATTTGAGAGAGTGAGCGAGAGAGAGAGTGCACAAGCAGGGGGAGGGGCAGAGGGAGAGGGACAAGCAGACTCCCCACTGAGCAGGGAGCCCTATGATTCGGGGCTCGATCCCAGGACCCCGGGATCATGATCTGAGCCAAAGACAGATGCTTAACCAACTGAGCCACCCAGGTGCCCCAGTTTTGTTTTTTTAATACTCTATAGATAACGCCCTTACTATTTGCACCCTGAATGGACCACTTTTACTGCTCCACTCCCTTGTTCTGTCACTAGGAAGACCCAGTAGAGAAGGAGTGATGTAAGAATTAGGAGCCATGTGACTGATGGAATAAAGTCTGGGAGGAGGAGAAGGGGCTGGACCCAGAGTGGAGGAGGAGGGGCTGGAGGCCTTCAACAGGAGGTGGCCCATCTCCTCCTCTGGGCCTGGAGGGAGGAGGAGAGGGAAGGTGGGTGTAGATGGAGGTTTGTGGGTTTGATGGCCAGACCTTGAGGGAATTACCAACTGACAGCCTCTCTTCTCCCTGTGAGGTGGGTGGGAGGAGGGCATCTGGGCCAATGGACAGTGGGATCCTGGTCTGTTTTATGCACTCTTATCTCCAGAGCCTCACTCCAGAGCACCTGGTTCACAGTAGGTGCTAAAAAAAAATCATCCAATGAATGGATCAGGATCTGGAGGAGGAGGCTTGGATACACATTGTGGGCAATCATGCAATCACACACACACACACACACACACACACACACACACACTCAGGAACCCACTCCCGCTTCTGACTTAAGCCGAGACTAGACAAAAGCCACTTGTAATGGTGTCAGCTCTGTCTTGAGGTGTAGGGAGCTGGGGAGAATGCCAGGGAGAGCTTCACAAGGGAGGTATTAATTTGAACTGGGGTCTGGAGAAATGTAGCAGTTTGCCAGGAGCGAAGGGGAGCAAAATGTTATAGGACAAGAGCCAGAGGTGGGAAGGGGTTTAGTGTGGCATGGGTGGGGTGGCTGGCACTGGGGAGTTGTTGGAGGGTTTTAAGAAGGGAAGTGAGGGGGCGCCTGGGTGGCTCAGAGGTTTAAGCGTCTGCCTTTGGCTCAGGTCATGATCCCAGGGTCCTGGGATCGAGCCCCGCATCGGGCTCCTTGCCCAGCGGGAAGCCTCCTTCTCCCTCTCCTTCTACTGCTCCCCCTGCTTGTGCTCTCTCACTCTCTCTGTCAAATAAATAAATAAATAAAATTAAAAAAAAAAAAAGAAGGGAAGTGAGATGGTCAGATTTGTGTTTAGACAGTGAAGGCCTTCCAGTGCCTTCTGCAGCTAAGTACAGAGCCCTCTCTAAAGTAGACGCATGTGGAGGGGATAGAACAAAGGTGTTCTCCCTTTTGTTTCTCTCTTTTATTTACCCTCTCCCAGCCACTGGAGGAATTAAAGACTGGGGGCTTCCCTGGGGAGGTGGGGTGGGGAATCAGGGTGTGTCTTCAAATCTCTATAGGACTGCCCTGGAGCAGAGTGACCCAAGCAGATATGTTCTCTAAGTCTCCATGGGCACACAGAGGCCCTGAGACAGGATGGCATGAGGGGGGATTACAGACAGGGGGGCTAATTTGGACTCAACATAAGGAAGCCCCTTCTCACTGCTAATGCCATTCAGCAGAGGCACAGAAGAAGGTGGGCTTGCCATTTCTGAGCAAAGACTGTGGCTCCTGCTAGGAAAGCTGCTGGAGGACCGGGCCAGTGGAGTTGAACTAGGTGATCTCCGACACTTGACTCTGACCTTGAGGAAGAGGGGGAGGGGCCGGGAGTCAGGAGGCTTCAGGAGTCTGCCCCTCAACACAAACCTCTTCTAAATGGAGCCTGTCAAAGTAGAGATAACCACTGCTGTCTCTGCTGGGACACACATCTCTGGGACCGCAGATGTCCACAAACACGCAGAGAAAAGGAGCCTCTGGTCTTTTTTTCCGACCACTGTGAGACCCTGCAAATGGATCCCGGCTCTGACTTCACAACGGAGGTTGGCAGGCCATGGTTTTATCCGCACCTGACTGATGGTTTCTTGAGGCCAGAGAAGCATAGGGAGGGGTGGGGCTAACAGGGGAACCCAGGCCACCTGAGTCCCAGTGGGGGCTGCTATTGCCCACCAGACCACCATGGTAGTGAGTCCCATGCTCTGTTCTGAAGGCAGATAGTTCCAAAGCCCCTGGGGCTTCAGAGACCCTGCCCTAAGCTGTGCTGCCCAAGGACTCAACAAGATGGAACCTCCCAAGCCTAAAGGCTTCCAGATCACGGAAACCCTCTTCTTCCTCCCACGGCCCGAACATTCTTCCTGAGGGCTCGTCTGCATCCCCTCTGTTGTATAGTGTCTTCCTGGGGCTGGAGAGCCGCCAGCCGTCCAGAACCAGCTAAACTAGAAAGAAGGCCAGCTGGGTGGGGGCAGGGAACAACGTGAGAGCCACCCAAACTCCCAGAAGAGGGGCCAGGAGCCACGGCCTCCCTCCCGCCTGGCCCAACTGGTGAGAAAATTTTTCAAGTGGGTGTTTAGCAGTTTCCACTTCAGGCCTGTGATGGAGGAACGGTAATTACGACCCCTGCAGTGTACATGTTGTCTGCACCGGGCTAAGAGGCTTACACTTCATCTCAGCTAGTCCCCCACCAACATTTTTGAGGTGGGTATTCTATGCAAGGCTCAGGGAGGTCAAGCAATCTGCCCGAGGTCACCAGCAACTAAGCGGTACAACCCAGCTGCAAACCCAGGTTGTCCAGATACAAAAGCCTGTGCTCTTAACAACCTATGTTCTGGGTGAGGCGAGAGAAGCAGAGAAGTGAGGGAAGCAAAGTCATTGAGGAGGGTGTCAAGACTAGAACCAGGGAAACTTCACCCTCCTCCTGCCTACTCCCCTCCACCTGGCTGGCTCCACTTCCATCCTGCAACCAAGGGTGTCATTTGAGGATTTGTGATGATGAACCCCAAATGCTAGTGGTGGGAGGATGGGCTCCGACAACAGTGTGTGTGTGTGTGTGTGTGTGTGTGCGTGTGTGTGTGTGCGCGCATGCGCGCGCGCGAGCATAACTAGGAGTTTGTGGGTGTCTGTCCCTGGGGAGCTGTGACACACCCCTTGGAGGCACCTCTCTTCTGGCCTCACATCAAGACTAGAGAGTTGGGCTCATTTTCTTCCAATGGGCATTAGGGTGGCATGGTGTCTGCTTGGGTTGGAATCCCACCACTTACTAGCTGTGGGACATTGGGCAAGTTACTGAACCTCTGAGCCTTAATTTCCTCATTTTAAAAATAAGGATAAAGTACATACCTCACGGGCTGTTGTGAGGATTTAGTGAATTACTAAAAGTAAAACACTCAGTGTTTGGCACACAGTAAGCACTTACTAAGGGCTAATAGTACCGGGCTGTTGGGTCAGGAGCTGCCACCCCATGGGTAAGGGCTGGAGTAGCTGAGACCCCCTTTCCCGGCACAATTCCAGGACATAAACTCACCCTAATGGGGCAGGCAAGAGAGTGGGGGAGAGAGAAGCTGTGGAGGAGACCCCCTCCTCACGTGGCTTTGCCCCGCAGCCTGTCCCCCAGGGTTTTACAAGTTGTCCCCGCGCCGGCTGCTCTGCTCCCCGTGCCCAGAGCACAGCCGGGCCCTGGAAAACGCCTCCACGTTCTGCGTGTGCCAGGACAGCTACGCACGCTCGCCCACCGACCCGCCCTCGGCCTCCTGCACCCGTGAGTGCCCCTCCCGCAAGCGTTCGGGGGTGGGGTGGGGGGTGGGGAGTCCGGAAAGGCCTGGTGGAGGGGTTGCCGAGGGCAGGGGGCTCTGCACTGGGGAGCGTGGGGCGCATGGGGACCAGCGACCCAGACGGCGGGGCGGAGGGAGGGGAGCCGGGGGGGGGGGGGGGGGGGGGGGGGGGGCGGGGGGGGGGGGGGGGGGGGGGGCGGATGCGGGCCGGGGCCTGCGGTTGGAAGAACCAGTACGAGTCCCGAGACCGAGCGGTGAGGTCAGGCTTCTCGACTGGTCGTGAGTGGACTGCCCCCCCCACCCCCGCCGTCACCTCACCCTGCGCCCCAGCCAGGAGTGGGACTCGGGCCCCTTACACTCTGTGCGCCGTCGTGCGTCCTCATCCTCCTCCCCTCACTACCCTCCTCCCACCTCGCTGGCCCCCACGCCCCCCACGCCCCCTTCTGCCCCTCCCCCCCCCCCTCCCCCCCCCGCCCCCGCTGACGGCGCCCCCCCGCCCCCCAGGGCCGCCATCGGCGCCGCGGGACCTGCAGTACAGCCTGAGCCGCTCGCCGCTGGCGCTGAGGCTGCGCTGGCTGCCGCCCGCCGACTCCGGCGGCCGCTCGGACGTCACGTACTCGCTGCTGTGCCTGCGCTGCGGCCGCGAGGGCCCGGGGGGCGCGTGCGAGCCGTGCGGGCCGCGCGTGGCCTTCGTACCGCGCCAGGCCGGGCTGCGGGAGCGCGCCGCCACGCTGCTCCACCTGCGGCCCGGGGCGCGCTATACCGTGCGCGTGGCGGCGCTCAACGGCGTGTCGGGCCCGGCTGCCGCCGCGGGAGCCACCTACGCTCAGGTCACCGTGTCCACGGGGCCCGGGGGTAAGGCCGCCCGCCGCGTCTCTCCAGGAGGCGAGCCACCCCCCCGCCCCCCCCCCCCCGCACACATCCCTGACCGCGGGGACCCCCGCCGACGGCCGGCCCTTCCCGGAGGCCCCCGGGGGGGGGGGGGGGGGGGGGGGGACGGGGGCCGGGGGGGCCGGGGGGCCGGGGGGCGCGGTCAGGGGGGGGGGGGGGGGGGGGGGGGGGGGGGAGGGACTGAGGACGCGGGTGACTAGGTGCCGCTGGGCCAGAGCTGTGGCGGGCGTCTCGGGGGAGGGTCTGCGGGAGCCAGCGGGCGCCCCTGCTCCCGACCTGGCAGAGAGCCCCAGCACCACACCCGGCTCGCGGCCGCCCTGCCTCTCCTCTCCCAGGGGACAGAGGCGGGCAGCCCCGCAATCTTTTGCCCGCCCTTTTCAAAACTTTCAGCCAGAAGAGCAGAATCGTCCCTCCTCCTCTCCTGTCTCAGAAAGAGGAGTTCGTTCTGTCGTGTGTCCCCCAGCCTCTATCCCTGCCGCATCGGTCACCCTCCTCCCTGGTCTTGGAAAAGAGCAAGAAGGCACAGCAGGGTCAGGCTGTAGGGACGCCAGAAGTCACTGGTCAACCCGTAGCAGTCACATTTCTGAGTCTGGAATAGAGATGAGGAAATAAAGACCTACACTCCTTTCGTGCTACACCTTCCCCAGTTCCTGAAACTGACTTTTCATTTGTCTCTCGCCCAGCTGGGGTACACCTTCAAGTAATCCTTCAAGTGTCCTTTGCAAGAGAGATAAGTGAGTGGTAGGGTTTCCAGGTCTTCTCTTATCTGAGATGTGATGGGTTTGTGACTCTACTTCCCAGTCTTCTGGCCGCTGTTGTTGCGGAGGTCTGAGGCCAGGGTGATTTTTATTCTTGTGTAAGTAGCCTGGGTGTGTGCATTTGTGTAATTCTTTCACCTATTAGTGAAAATAAAATTTAACCAATATTGATCTCTCTTCATTGAGTTTGGCTGGTACCTAGTAAAACTTTTGATCTGCACACAGTTTTTTATTCCTGGAAAAGAACTTTTTTTCTGTTATTGCTTTGACTAGAATTTCTGATAGCTCCAGTGTCTCTCTAGGAATCTCTCTAAGCCTTAGGTTGTACATCCATTTTCTGATTCTCAAATCTTGTCACACCCTTTATCATTTTTAGCTCTTAATCTATTTTCTCTGCCTTTTGCGAGAGATTTCCAATTTGTCTGGTTTTCTGGAATAACAGTTTTGTTCTGTTTTTTACTATCTCTACTGTGACTTAACATTTGCTATTGCATTTACATTAAAAAAAAATTCAATATAGAAAGAGAAAAAAGCACCCGTAATCCTGTTACCCAGAGCTATACAACTATTAATATCTTGGAGTATATCCTTCCACATTTTTTTGCCATCTCTATATCCATATCTAGAACCACCTACTATAAAATCCCTTTTGTATAATATATGTGATATGAGATTTTTATCTGGTATTTCATATTAACAATCCTGTTTTGATATAGATGGATTTAAAAATCCTGTTGAGGAGATGCTGTTTCCATTTTACTAATGAAAATACTAAGCTTCCACTGATTGAGTGGTGCTCTGTGGTTGGCATTGGCCCTGTGCAGTATGATTTTCTACATTCATTCACTGAAATAGAAGGATAATCATCTTTCAAATAAAGAAACTGAGGCCTGAGAGCACAAGTGATTTGTCCAAGGTCACCCAGTTAGTAAGTAGACACCTTGTGCTTTTAGCCACTTGGCCATATAATGCTTTCACTTTTTACTGAACTTTAAAAAAAAATCAGAAATGGATGTTAATTTTATAAAATGCTTCTTAAGCATCTTTCAAGATGACTGCATGTTTTTTCTCCTCTGACCTATTGGCATGATGAATTCTATTCATGGGTTTTTCAATGTGAGCTCTTTTTGCATTCCCAGATTATATCCTACTGGATTTGAGTGTATTATTCTTTTAATATTTTGCTGAATTGATTTGCTTATATTTTACTATTTCTTTCCATGTACATTTACAAGAGAGATTAGTGCTTTTTTGTTGTTGTTGTGTTCTTTGTCAAGTTTTTAACATTTGTCAAGTTTTGCTGGCTTTGGAAAAGGCATCAAGAAAAATCTCTTCTTTTTCTCTGCTCCGCAGCAGTTTAAGTACCATAATTATCATTCTTTGAAGGTGTGCAAAATCGCTTTCAGGGCCCTGCACCTTCTTTGGGGGAAAGTTGGATGATATTCTCAACCTTTTCCATACTTTTTGGATCAGTTTCGTTAATTTGTGCTTTCATAGCAAATATTTTGATGATCTTTTTCTTATTCAGTAGCCTAGAAATGTACATTTTAAAACTTTCCTCAGTATCTGTAGTTAACTCTGCTTTTTCATTCTTCATGTTATATGTTTGAGATTTCTTTTTAGTTAATTATCCTTGCCAGAGATTTATTTTACTGGTTATGATAAAGAATCAGTTCTTCAATTTATCAATTCCAGTGTTGTGTACTTTTGTCACTTATTTTATGGTTTTACCTTTATTAATACCATCCTGTTGCTTTCCTGAAGTCTTTTTCTAGGTGAGTTCAGTGCTTAGTTTTGTTTTCATATTTTTTTAAAAGATTTTGTTTATTTGTTTGACAGAGAGAGACAGTGAAAGAAGGAACACAAGCAGGGGGAGCGGGAGAGGGAGAAGCAGGCTTCCTGCGGAGCAGGGAGCCCGATGCGGGGCTCCATCCCAGGACCCTGGGATCATGACCCAAGGTGGAGGCAGACGCTTAACGACTGAGCCACCCAGGTGCCCCAGTTTTGTTTTCATATTTTAAGCCTATGAATTTTCCTCTAAGTATAAGTTTGGTCACGTCCAGTATGTTTTTATACCTGATATATCACATCCTTAGTATAGTCACTTTTCTGAGGAGATATTCACATACCCTAAAATTTCACATACCTTTTTAAAACGTACAGTTCAGTGCTTTTTCATATAATCACATAGTTATGCAGCCCACACTATCTAATTCCAGAACATTCTCAACACCCCCAAAAGAAACCTATTAATAGTTACTCCCCATTCCTCCCACCCCCTCTAGCACCTAGTAACTGCTAATCTATTTTCTGTCTGTATAGATTTGCCTCTTCTGGGCATCTCATATACATAGACTTATACGATATGTTGACTTTTGTGTCTGCCTTTTTTTTGTTGTTTAGCGTAATGTTTTCAAGGTTTGTCCATGTTGTAACGTGTATCGGTACACCAGTCCCTTATATGGCTGAGGAATATTCCACTGTATACCACAATTCTCTTTATCCATTCATCAGTTTATGGGCCGTTTTTCTACCTTTTGGCTATTATGAATAACGCTGCTGTGAATAGTCATGTACACGATTTTGTAGAGACATGTTTTCAGTTCTCTTGAGTGTATACGTAGGAATGGAAATGCTAGGTCCCATGATGTTATAGACTGAATTGTGTCTCCCCCAGATTCATAGGTTGAAGCCCTAACCCCCAATGTGACTCTCTTTGGAGATAGGGCCTTTGAGGAAGTAAGGTTAATGAGATCATAAGGGTGGGGCCCTAAGCCCATAGGACTGGCATCCTTACAGAAGAGGAAGAGACTCCAGAGCTCCCATGCTCTCTCTGTGCCTACACAAAAGGAAGGCCAAGACAGGGCACAGCAAGACACGGTTGTCTGCCAGTCAGGAAGACAGTCCTTACCAGAATACTATAGATACAAATCTGTAAACCTCTCGATCTGGGAGTTCTAGCCTCTAGAACTGTGGAAAAAATTCATCTTTGTTGTTGATGCTGCAGAGTCTGTAGTATCTTGTTACGGCAGCCTGAGCTGACTAAAACATACAGTAGCTTTTTATCTTCTTGAGGAACCAGTGAACTTCTTGAGGGACTGCCAAGCTGTCTTCCAAAGCATCTGTGCCATTTGACATTCCCGCCGGCAACGTACAGGGGCTCCAGTCTCTCCACCTCGGCACCGAAACTGGTTTGTGTTTTTGTTGGTTACGGCCATCCTAGTGGGTGTGGAGTGGGATCTCACTGTGTTTTGGGTTTGCATCTCCTTAATGACTGGTGACATTGAACATCTTTTCATGTGCTGGGTTTTCTTTTTGTCATTGAGTTATGAGCTCTCTCTCTCTCTCTCTTTTTAAATATATATATTCTGGGTATTAGGCCTTGGTATTTTTCTAAATTTTCAAAGGCCTTTCTAGTTCTCTAAGACTGCTGTAACAAAGTACCGAATATCAGATGGCTTCAAACCAAAGCAATGTGTTGTCTCACACTTGCGGAAGCTGCAGGTCTGAAATCAAAAGTGACAGCAGAGTGAAGAGCTCTCTGACTGCTCCGGGGGAGGATCCTCCCTTGCTTCTAGCCTCCTGTGTTTGCTGGCGGTCCTTCTTCCTCCTTGGCGTGTAGATGCATGTTCCAGTCACACGGCCTGTTCTCCCTGTGTGTCTTCATATTGTCTCCGCTCCGTGAGTGCCTGCCTCTGTGTCCAAATCTCCCCTTTTCAGAAGGACATCATTCATATTGGCCGAGGGCCCACTTGAGAATGTGCTCTCTCTCCCTATCTCTGTCTCTCTCTCAAATAAATAAATAAAATCTGAAAAAAAAAAGATTTTATTTATTTAAGGGAAGCGGGGAGAGAGAGAGAGCACAAGCTGGGAGGAGAGGGAGAAGCAGGCTTCCTGCTGAGCTGGGAGCCCGACATGGGACTCGATCCCAGGACCCTGGGATCATGACCTGAGCCGAAGGCAGAGGCTTCACTGACTGAACCACCCAGGCACCCCACAACATGGTATTGTTAACTAGAGTCACCATGCCATGCATTGCGCCCCAGGACTTACTTATTTTATAACTGGAAATTTGAACCTTTTGCCCACCTTCCCCCATTTTGCCCACCCCCCAGTCATGCTGCTGGCAGACACCTGTCTTTCACTTTGAGTTGTGTCTTTTGAAGCTCCGAGTTTTACATTTTGGTGAAATCTTGGGTTCCCTGTGCCTTTGGTTTCCTATCTAAGAAATCACTGCCTGGTTCAAGGTCATGAAGATTTAGACCTATGGTTTTCTTCTCGTAGTGCTGTTTTGCCTGAATTTATTTTAGAGAATGTGTTTCAATTTCTGGATGATTTGCGTTTATTTTTGTTTCTGATTTTATTGCTCCGTGCTTAGAGAAAGAGGTTTGTACAACTTTTCCTTTTTAACGTCACCACTGAGGTTTTCTTTGTTGTGAAAGGGTAGGGTCAGCATTTTAATTGCTTCATGGCTACTTGAGAGCAACGTGTATTATTTCCATGCTGCCGTTTTGCTCTCGCGTTCTCCATGTATAAAGTAAACATACTCTTCCTTTCTACCTCCTCCTTCTTGTCTCCTTGATGTTCCCATCCTGCGTGTGATTCTGTCAAAATTCCTTATGTTTGCAGTGCCTTTTCTTTTAAATGCTTCAGTTTCACTAATGCACCTTTAGTTTCCCTCACGGGCCGTGCTCACCTCTCCGCTTGTACCTCCCCCGGATCTTCTTTTTCTTCTCCGCCTGTTGTCCCTTCATGACCTTCTGCTCCCTCTTTGGGGAGGCAGTGTTTTCTCTCCTCTTCTTGCAGATGCCAGACAATCGCTTCACTTGTTTCTCTGTCACACCAAATCCCTCGGAAGAAGCTGCTCCTCCTGGTTCTTCAGAATAATTTTACTGTTCATTTAGTCCGAAAGGTTTTTTTCATGAGCCCGATTTCTTGGTGTTTTCTGTTTCCTTGTTCTTGAACAAGGAGATAGCTGGTGTCTGCCAAAAAACTCAATGTGTGACTTGTCCCTTGGGTTGGTTTGTAAGGCTTTCAGCTGCAAGTAACAATAAATCTCAATCCCGCTGGTGTTTAACTAGAAATGATTTTTAAAAGATTTTATTTATTTATTTATTGAGAGAGAACGAGGGGAGGGACAAAGGGAGAGGGAGAGAATCCCAGGCAGATTCCGTGCTGGGCACGGAGCCCCACATGGGGCTTGATCTCATGACCCTGAGAGATCATGACCTGAGCCAAAATCAAAGAGTTAGATGCTTAACTGACCAAGCCACCCAGGTGCCCCGAAAAATGCTTTCTTAGCTTACCTAAGAGTTGAGATAGAGCATGGTTACTTCAGTAGCTCATCAGGGTCCTCAAGGATCCAGGTTCTTTCTGTCTTTCTACTGTGCCATCCTTGTCACATTAGGCTAGCTCCCTTATGGTGGCAAGTTGAATGCGGCAGCTTCAGACATCACATCCTTACCATCTAGAGCAGAAAAAGAACTGTTTCTTCCTTGTAGGTATCATTTTAAGAGCAAGAAACCTTTCCCAGAATCCATCCTCCCCTTAGCTGATTTCTCCTTACGTTGGCCAGAACTGGCTTACAAGCCCGACCCCAATCATTGGCACAGGAAATGGGTGCGCACAGATACCTTAGAACAATCAGAAAACCTGAGTCCCATGGGGGGAAACAGTACACCCTGAATCAAAAGTTGGGCTCCGCAGGCAAGGAAGGGGGACGTGGCTGTTGAATGGTTTTCCAGTAATGTGTGCTGTGTTCTTGGTCCCACTTGGGCGCTGGCCAAATTTCATCACTGATCTGCAGTGGGAGAGCAGGTGCTTGGGCTTGGTTTTCAGCTCCATTCTCTGGAGTTATCAGGCTTTCATCTAATGTATCTCTGTGGGGTTGAAATGGAACCTTCTCCCACCTCTGTATCCTGGCCATTCTGATGCTTTCAACAAATGCAGTTCCAAAAAATGACATGCCTAGCCTCTTCCCCTCTGTATCTGCAAGGGGCTGTGCCTCTTCCTCGGATGCTTCCCCACTTCTCCCCCCTTGAAGCCATGTCTTTTCTGCGAGCTACCATCTCCAAGTGGATTTAGGCTGAGAGGTACTCCTGGGGAATAGGTAGGAACACTCTTCCTCCAGAGCAACTCTGCAGGAGAGTGATGGCTATGCATTGTCCAGTTGACAAAGACCTTGCCTTTTTTTAAGGGTCAGACAGTGGGAGGAGGGATAAAAGATCTTTCAAGTTATTTTTAGGATGGGAGGCAGGGTCACTCTGTGGGCAGCATAGCCTGGGGGTTCACTACAATTGTACTTTTCAGTCTAGTTTCACTGGTTTTCTCCTAGGTGGAGATAATGCCACTCCACCACCCGACCCCCATTCTGGCAATCAGCTGTCAAGACTAGTTTATGGCGATGTTCTAGGTTTTCAATTCTTTCTGTACCTTTATGTTTTAGTTAGAATTTGAGAGAGACTGGAGGGTGGGGGCTGCTGGATCGTTACCATTTACAGCTAGAAGCCATGTTCACGCACTCTTCGAAGAGTGAGCTACATGCGCCCCGTCTCCACTTCCTTGGCCCATCGCCACCTGGTATCTGCTTCCCTCAATCCCCTGAAGTCACCAGGACCTCACCACTTTGTTAAAGCCAGAGGGCACTTTGAATCGTGGTCTTACCCTGTCTCTTCTCAGCAGATGACACTGTCGACCGTGGGTTCCTCTTGTGGGTAAGCCTGCATGGCGTGCGTGCTCTGTGTCATGTGTCGTGCTAAGCTCTTCATACACATGGCTTCATAAAATTCTCACAGTGAGCCCAGTGAGGTCATCATTCTTTCCATTCTACACGTGAGGAAACAGAGCCTCTTGCTCATGGACCAGTAGCTCAAAACCGGAAGAGTCAGAAGGGAACCTTCGTAAATGCTCTCTTCCCTGGGCTTCTGGATCTCATTTGCTCCTGGTTTTCCTGCTACCTCTCTGGCTCCTCATTTTTGAGCTCCTCTTCCTTTACCTGCCTCCTAAAGTAAATGCTTGTTCCTAAAAGCTTTCTTTCTCTTTCTCTGCATCCTCCTGGGCAGCTACATCCAGTCACCCTCTGATGGCTCTTGGATCTTCATCTCATTCTCAGATGCCTTTTGTGAGCCCTGAAACCACCTCTCCAGCTGCCTGTCCGGTATCTTCTCTTGGAAACCCCTCTATTCAACACACCTGAAGTGAGGCCATGGTCTTACCTCCCAGTAACTTTGTGGTCCCTGCCTCAGATCAGGCATTTTTACCTTTTTTTTTAGTTCAGTACTGTCCATTCAACATTATCTAGACGAGTGATTCTCAAAGTTGTCTGCACATTGGAATCACCGAGAAGATTAAAAAAAGAAAAAGAAAAATGCCCGAGTCCCTCCCTGTTAAGATGATTTAATTGTTTTGGGTTGTGTGACCTGGGCACCAATATTTTTTTTTTATTGTGGGGAAAGAAACATAATATTTGCCAGCTTAACCGTTTTTAAGTGTATAGTATACAGTAGTTTGAACTATATGTACATCCTTGTGCAGGAGACCTCTGAACTCCTTTCATCTTGCAAAACTCATACCCTGCGCCCGTTGAACAAAACCCTTTGTTTTTGAACAAAAGCTCTTGGCCCTCTTTGCCCCCCATTCTCCCTTCTGTTTCTAAGCTTGATGACTGTAGATGACTCATAAAGTGGAATCATGAAGTGTTTGCCTTTCTGTGACGGGCTTATCACTTGGCATCACGTCCCCCCAAGTTCATTCATGTCATAGCCTGTGACAGGATTTCCTTTTTTTTTTCTGAATGAGTTCATTCAGAAAAATTGTACGCCTATATCACATTTTCTTTTTTTTCTTCTAGCTTTATTGAGATATAATTGACATATAACTTGTGTAAGTTTAAGGTGTACAATGTGTTGATTTAGTGTATGTATATATTGTAGAATGATTACCATGATACGGTTAGTTAACACATCCATCACCTCACAGAGTTACCGTGTGTGTGTGTGTGTGTGTGTGTGTGTGTGTGTGTGTGTGTGATGAGAACGCTGAAGATCTCTTTTAGCAGTCTTCAAGTATATGATACAGTATTATTGGCTAGAGTCATCCTGCTGCTCTGCATTAGATCCCTAGAACTTATTCATCTTCTGATTGGAAGTCTATGCCCTTTGACCAACATCTCCCATTTCCCCCAGCCCCTAGCCCTTGGCAACCACCAGTCTACTCTCTGTTTCTATGAGTCTGGTTTTTTTAGATTCCACATATAAGTGAAATCATGCAGTATTTGTCTTTGTCTTTCTTATTTCACTTAACATAATGCCCTCAAGGTTCATCCTTTTTTTTTTTTTAAGGATTTTTATTTATTTGACAGAGAGAGACACAGCGAGAGAGGGAACACTAGCAGGGGGAGTGGGGGAGGGAGAAGCAGGCTTCCTGCTGAGCTGGGAGCCTGATGTGGGGCTTGATCCCAGGGCCCTGGGACCATGACCGGAGCCGAAGGTAGACATTTAAGGACTGAGCCACCCAGGCGCCCCCATCTATGTTCTTGATGATGGCAGGATTTCTTTCTTTTTTATGGCTGAATAACATTCCTTTATAGATATCATTTTCTTTTCTTTATTCATTCATCCATCAACAGATACTGAAGTAATTTCCGTATCTTGGCTATTGTGAGTGATACTGCAGTGAACACGACAGTGCAGATATCTCTTCAAGATAGTGATTTCATTTTCTTGGACTATGCTCAACAGTGGGGCAGAGGCAGAGGGAGAAGCAGGCCTCCCGCTGAGCAGGGAGCCAGGTACAGGGCTCCATCCCAGGACCCTGGGATCATGACCTGAGCCAAAGGCAGACACTTAACTGACTGAGCCACCCAGGCGCCCCTGTCTCTACCTGTTTTTAAATTGGGGGAATTTGTGGGGTTTTTGTTGAGTCGTAGGAGTTCTTTATATATTCTGGATATTGACCCCTTATCAGATATGTGGTTAGCAGATATTTTCTCCCATTTCATAGGGATGGTTTCCCTATTTCATTTTGTTGATGGTCTCCTTTACCGTGAAGATGTTTTTAAGTTTGATGTGGTCCCATTTGTCTATTTTTGCTTTTGTTTCCTGTGCTTTTGGTGTCATATCCAAGAAATCATTGCCAAATCCAATGGCAGGAAGCTTTCCTCTATATTTTCTTTTTTATTTTACTTATTTATTTTTAAAATATTTTTTAAAAAGATTTTATTTATTTATTTGACAGAGAGAGAGACAGCAAGAGAGGGAACACAAGCAGGGGGAGCAGGAGAGGGAGAAGCAGGCTTCCCGCCGAGCAGGGAACCCAATACGGGGCTCGATCCCAGGACCCTGGGGTACTGACCTGAGCCGAAGGCAGACGCTTAATGCCTGAGCCATCCAGGTGCCCCCTCTTTTCTTTTTTTTTAATATATTTTTAAAATTTATTACTTGAGGCGGGGAGGGACAAAGGGTGAGGAAGGAAGGAGAGAGAATATCAAGCAGACTCCCTGCTGAGTGCAGAGCCTGTTGTGGGGTCCGATCTCATGACCCTGAGATCATGACCTGAGCTGAAATCAACAGTCAAACATTTAACTGACTGAGCCACCCAGGTGTCCCTTAAATATATTTTATTATTTTATTTTATTTTATTTTATTTTGTTAGGCTCCATGCCCAGCATGGAGCACAACGCAGGGCTCAAACTCACAACCCTGAGATCAAGACCTGAGCTGAGATCAAGTCGTTGGATACAGAGACACCTTGGTGGCTCAGTCAGTTGAGTGTCCGCCTCTTGATTTCTCCTCAGGTCATTATCTCAGAGTTGTGAGATTGAGCCCTGCGCCAGGCTCTGCGCTCAGCAGGGAGTCCACTTGGAATTCTCTCTCTCCCTCCCTCCCTGACCCTCTGCCCTTCCCCCTGCACTCTCTCTCTCTCACTCTCCCTCTAAAATAAAATAAATAAATCTTAAAAAAAAAAAAAGAAGCATCAGACACTTAACCGACTGGCCACCTAGGCACCCTCCTCTACATTTTCTTCCAGGAGTTTTATAGTTTCAGGTCTTACATTTAGGTCTGTAATTTATTTCATGTTAGATTTTGTATGTGGTATAAGGTAAGGGTCCAAATTCATTCTTTTGCGTGTGGATAATCAGTTTTCCCAGCACTGTTTGTTGAAAAGACTGTCCTTTCCCCATTGTGTCAGCTTAGCACTCTTGTCAAAAATCATTAGACTGTGCGTGTGAGGGTTTATTTCTGGGCTCTCTATTCTGTTCAGTTGGTCTGTGTTTCTGTCTTTATACTAGTACCAAACTGTTTTGATTTTGGTGGCTTTGTAATGTTTTTGAAGTCAAAAAGTGTGAGGCCTCTAGCCTTGTTTTTCTTTTTCAAGGTCATATTGCTATTCATGGTCCTTTGATTTTTCCAGATGAATTTTAGGATTTCTTTTCTATTTCTGCAAAAAACATCTTTGAGATTTTGATGGGAATTGAGTTGGATTTGTAGGTCACTTTGGGTAGCATGGACATTGTAACAGTATTAAGTGTTCCACTTCATAAACACGATGTCTTTCCATTTATTCGTGTCTTCTTTAATTTCTTTCAGCAATGTTTTCTCGTTTTTCATTAACTTTACTCCTAAGTATTTTATTCTTTTTGCTGCAATCGTATATGGGATTGTTTTCTTCATTTCCTGTTCAGATTGTCCATTGTTAGTGTGTGGAAACACAACTGATTTTTTTTTAAGATTTACTTATTTATTTAACAGAGATAGAGAGAGAGCACAAGCAGGCAGAGCGGCAGACAGAGGTAGAGGGAGAAGCAGGCTCTCCACCAAGCAGGGAGCCCAATGCGGGGCTCAATCCCAGGATCCTGGGATCATGACCTGAGCTGGAGGCAGCCTCTTAACCGACTAGCCACCCAGGTGCCCCAACACAACTGATTTTTGTGTGTTGACTTTGTATCTTGCAACTTTGCTGTCTTCATTTATTAGTTCTAACGGTGTTTTTGTGGAATTTTTAGGATTTTCTGCATATAAGAACATGTCACCTGTGGACTGAAATAATTTTACTTCTTTCTTTCCAATCTCAATGCCTTCTATTTCTTTCTCTTGCCTAAGCTCTCTAGCTAGGGCTTCTGTATATGTTAAATTGAAGTGGCAAGTGTGCCACTTGCCTTGGTCCTGATCTTCAAGGGAAGGCTTTCAGTTTTCCACCTTTGAGCACGTTGGCTGTGGCTTTTCATATATGGTCTTTATTATGATGAGGTAGTTTCCTGCGGTCCCTAGTGCGTCCAGTGTATTGCTTCTCCACCAGACCGTCAGAGTACCTGAGTAGGTTGTTTTCCTGCCTCCTGTGCTCTTTAATGTCTCCAAACCACAGAAAGTGTAGAAAGCACCTGGGGGATTAGAACCAAACACCACTAGGGCAGCTGGAGTGCAGGGGGTGGGCAAGCAGCAGGTGGCTTGGGCCCCCCCTCCCCTCTCCCCCCCCCCCCCCCCCCCCGCAGAGACCCAGGAAGCTGAGAGCTGTGGGGTGAGAGCGGCCTCCCTACCGTCTGGTCTCAGGACTCGACAGCTCAGACCCCGCCCCTCAGGAGCCTCTGGCCCCGCCCCACCCACCCGGCCCCGCCCCCACTCCCTGCATGCCTCGCCCTTCCAGCGCCCACACGGGCACTGCCCCACAGTGGGATCCCGTGGAGAACCCGGCGTTACTTACTTTCAGCGCCCTGGGAGGAGGATGAGATCCGCAGGGACCGAGTGGAGCCCCAGAGTGTGTCCCTGTCGTGGCGGGAGCCTATCCCCGTCGGAGCTCCGGGGGCTAATGGCACCGAATACGAGATCCGATACTACGAGAAGGTGAGGCGGGGTCTGGGCGGGACCCGGGTCTGCGTTCAGGGGCTGCAGTCTGTCTCCAGCAGCCGCTTCCTTTTCTACCTTCTCGCCGCAAAAAGTCCTCCTTACTTTCTTTGTGAACATATCCACCGGCCTCCTAAGGTCTGAGTTTCTTCCTGTCCCCTCCACTCCGTGCATGGACCCCACTGCTCATCCGCTGTCCCCCCCTCTCTGCTCCTCACCAGTCATCAGCTCCATTGTCACCACTTTTGCTTGTTTACAGTTGACTAAGAGCGTTTCCTGGGGGCTGATCCAGATCTTGCATGGCCAGACTATATACAATTTGCAACCCCTTTTAAGAAAAAGAATGCAGAAATACCGTATTGTTTCAAAATTTACAAAAATGTCTGACCTAGGTCAGGTGGTCCACTGGAACTTGGCCCTGTGCTGGTAAATGTTTAACATCCTGCTGTCCAGAACAATGAATGCATGTATGAATTACTATTACGGTTTTACTGATATACAGGATGTGTAATGCATCGTTTACAAATAAGAAAAAAGATATACAGTGTCCGTATTATAAACTCCATCTAGCCGATTGATCCTTATAGGATGCTTTTGCCGATTTTTGCTGACTTCTTGTATCTGTTGTCAATGTATGGTTGCAGTTCAACCTCGACTTGACAAATGGAGATATGTCCCAGTCCAGTGTCTCTTTTCCCCATAAATTTACCGTCTTTAAATGTGATATGTAATCTACTGTTAAAGTTTTCTCGCCTTGGTGCCAGTTTTCTTCATTCAAGCAAAACCTTGGCTTTCATCTTCAGCATGTCATGTGTCAGAACTTCACTCACCCCTTAGTGACTCGAGGGACTTCTTAGCTGAATCAGATGATAGTTTTTGAATACTGGAAGTTTACTGAGAGCTGTGAGTCGGGTGTGGGTGGGGAGTGAACACGAAGGAGGGACTCCTGAGTCACTGCTGGGAGATCTAGGGGATGGGGATGGAGGAGGAGAAGCCTGTCCGGGCTCAGTGGGTGAGCTGGGGTTGGCCCATGCAACGTTCAGGGGGTCCCTGGTACATCCAGGTGGACTTGGGGGTCTGCAGCTCAAGGCAGAGGCCTGTCCTGGAAAAAGAGAGGTGGGGCCCTTCAGCATAGGGCTGGGAGCTGAATGAAGCCAAGGGCCAGAAGAGAAGGCCAAGAAGGACATTGAGCGTGAGAAGAGGGGCCGAGACAGAGCTCTGAGGAGCCCTGAGGTTTAGGAGACTGCAGAGGACACTGGGAAGGAGCTGGGCACGCAGTCACTGCTCACAGAGGCCTCACTGAACTGACACGGGGTGGGGGTCAGAGCATAGGAGACAGAGTCCTGAGGCGGAGCTGTGTGGGTGCTCCAGGCCCTAAGGGGCTGTGAATTTGCAGGGAACCAAAACCGTTGAAAAGAGGAGCCTGTACAAAAGGGGTTCCGTGTGAAAAGCTTCAGGGGCATTGCACAGAAGCCCGGGACCACAAGTCCTGGAGGCACATGCTCCTCGTTTGCCCTTCTCTGTGCACACCAGTGCCCGCGTCCTCTGCACAGGGGCTTGCTCAGGGCCCATGAGGGTGGCCCAGGACGGCAGCCTTGCCTCTTCGCCCCACCCCGCCCTTACCCTGCCCGTCTCTCAGAGGTCCCGCCTGCAGCCCCTGTCTCGCTGTCTTTCCCTGGGTGGTTCAGATACCTGGAAGAGAGATCCCTACTGGCCCAGTTCGGGTCCCAGTCTTCCCCATTCCTGAATACCGTGACCAAAGAACTGGACCACATGATAATGAGGGGCTGTGAGCCTGGCAGGGGCTCTAATAAGGTTGGGGGGGGGCAGGCAGAGACGAAACAATAGCTGCATCCCCAGTATACACCATTATCAGACATGCTGGGGGCAGTATGATATGAAGTACGCACGGGACCCAAAGGAATCAAGATGGTGTTGTTCTGACCCTTCCCTGATGCGACTGTCCCCTATAAAGGAAGAGAGAACTGCTACTGTGGGCGCTGTAGGTAGCCAGGCCTCCGAAGAGTCTAGCTCAGCAGCGGGCAGTGAGCCGGCCCTCCCTCCATGACAGCTACCGCTGTCCCCACTGTCCAGCAGAGGCCTCGGGCGAGTCTCTCCACCCCTCTGTGCCTCAGTCCTTGTCTGTGAAAACCAGATGACAAAGAGAAGGATCTGTGTGAGCCGACGGCCGGGCAGGTGTCAGGACTGTTTCTCACTTCTCCGAGGCATCAGGCCCAGCTCACCCTCTCTCTGGACCACGAGGCCCTGACGTCTGTCCCCCAGAAGGGGGATCTAGCGTCTTCTCTCAAGTTTCTCTTACTGTTCTTAGCCACAAGTACCACTGAGTGTACTTGGGAACTTGGGTGCAGGGAGGGGTTGGAGAGCCCGTGGAAGCCTGCGGAGCCCTCCCTAGACTGTCGGAGTCAGATTCTCCCACCCTCAGCGCTTCTCCGCCCCCCTGCTCCTTGCCCCCGTCATTCTCCAAGGAGCGCGGGTCTGGCCCTGGGTCTGGGCCTTACTTCTTGGTCCTTCCTCAGGGTCAGAGTGAGCAGACTTACTCCACGGTGAAGACAGGGGCACCTGCGGTCACAGTCACCAACCTGAAGCCGGCTACCCGCTACGTCTTTCAGATCCGGGCAGCTTCCCCAGGACCCTCCTGGGAGACCCAGAACTTCAATCCCTCCATTGAAGTGCAGACCCCAGGCGAGGGTAAGTGATGTGTGTCTGTAGGGAGGGGCTGAGGTGGGGAGACCAGCTGGGGAGGGGGTGGTTATCCATGCAATTAAGGGAGCCCACAGAACAGTTTAATTACAACCTAAATAATTCATGAATTTGGAATCCACTGACGGAGGGCCTATTCAGTGACATGAATTAAATGGGAGGGCCACATCCTGGGGGAGCTCACAGGGGAGGGGCTCATGAACAGCTATAAGCCATGTCTCAGCTGGGATCTCCCAGCCTCCCAGGACCTCCTGTGTCTTGTAGAAACATCCTGTGCCCTCTCCAAGATTCTTGCTATTTTTCTTGGGAGGAGTTGTAGTCTCATGGTCACTTCTTGCTCCGAAGGCTAAATTCTTTCCCATTCTGCTTCTTTCTCTCTACCATGATATAGACTCAAACATGGGATGCTGTCCCTTTCCCCACTCGGCCTTAGAGTGAGAAGCATAGTTCACTGAAGGTTGGGGACACAAAGGGGTCGCACCACAGCAATAAAACAAAACAGAGCGAGAGTTGTGCATGTTCAGTGGGGGGGATTGTATGGTACGTGAATCATTTCTCCCAATAAAGCTATTATCAAGATGAAACGACAAAACAAAACAAAAGCTAAACGTCAGATGCCCTGATTCTAAAATGGCTCTGGCTTCTCCCCCGTGGTATTATGCTACCCGCTTCCGCCCTTCACCTCCCTCCCCTGGCTCCTCTTCTCCCCACCCTAACCCCCAAATTCCCTTTCATGATGAGAGATGAGCAGCTTAGCTGTGGCTTTGGTGGTTTTGCCTGCTGCTAACCCTGCCCTCAGGGTCTCACCTCTATCTACCCTGAGCAGTTCACGAAAGTATTTTCCCAGACAAAGGCAGTTCCCCCTAAGAGGCATTCTGACACCAGCTGTCAAGATAATAATTCTTTCCAACCTGCTACATGAGTCTAATCCAAGATAGGAAGAGCTCGGAGCCCAAAGGGAGGTGGAGATAAAATGTTGAGGGAGTTTGGGTTCTGGGAAGAGAGACAGCACTTCTTGTTCGAATGCCTGTCTGTGCCAGACCTCGGCCAGGTGCTGGCAGGAGGAGATTAGAGCTCTGTCTTGAAGGCTAGGGAGCATTTGAATGTGTGGAGATGGGCAGGGAAGGCATGTGGGGTAGACGAATCCATCCGAACAAAGGCGCACAGGTTTGGCTGCAGTGAGTGTGGCGGGGGCGGGAGCTGAGGGCTGTTAGCTGAAATGGGCCGATGATTTCCATTCATTTGGTGCTGCCTGGTGAGTAGACCCTGCTCGGACCCTCGGCCTCCTTGGCTGTGGCCCAGGCTCTGGGGGAACAGGTCTCCCAGTCTGTGGACCCCTTCTTCCAGTGATCTGTGACCCTAACTCAGGAGCACGATGAAGGATCCTACTTCAGCCCTGTATCAGCTACCCATTGCTGCGTAACAGATTACCCCAAAGCAAGTAGTTGCAAACAGCCAACATTTGTTCTCTCGTGGTCTTTGTGGGCCAGGCATCTGGGTGCAGCTTAAGTAGGTGCCACAGGCTCAGGGTCCCTCACGGCTGCAGTCATCTCAAGGCTCGGGTTCTTGCTGGCTCTTTGTTGGAGGCATGCAGTTCTCTGCCTCTTGGGCTTCTGCCTAGAGCTCCTCATCACACAGCAACTCGATTCTTTCAGAGACTGAGAGAGAGAGAGAGAGAGACAGGGTGCCCAAGACAGGGTGCACAGTCTCTCGTCTGTGACATCCCATCCTTCAGCTGCATTCTCTTCATTAGAAACAAGTCACTATGTCAAGCCCACACTCAAGGGGACTGAATACCAGGAGGTGGGGAATCCAGGGGGCACATCTCAGAAGCCACCTGCCACAACCGCCCTGTCTCCATTTCCAGGTCCACATGGACACCTCATTTCAAACAGTTCTTGGCAACTCCACCCACCTCTGCCCCAGCCAGCCCCCAGGTCCTGTCCCCACCCCTGGAACCATGGGCTCTAAAATCCCCTCATTGACCTTGGCCTTGCTGGCCTCTAACTCTCCCTTCCTCCTCTGTCCCTTGTCAGTTGACTGTGACATCCTCCTAACAGCCCTGGGGATCCAACCTTATCTCCCAGGCTGTGAGCCCCTCCTGGTCCCACATCGCCCCAGCCGCTGCGGATCCTCCCCAGGGAAATGCTCCCCAGCCGTGTTGGCCCTCACTCCCTGGATGCTGCATTGTGCCTGCCCTGCTTGTCCCAGAGCCTGGAGCCTGGAGCTGGCCTGAGTCCTGTGTCCCAAGCCTCATCTAATCTCAGCTGAGTCTCCAGGGCTGCGCAGCATCTCCCCCATTCTCAATAGTTTGCCCAAACATTTCCCCCTCTCTCAGGTACCTCCTGTCCATCCCCACTCCCAACCCAGCAGATACCTTCACCCCTTTCCCCTCAGGCAGGAACTCTGTCCATTGCTCCCTGGCTCCCTTGTCACCCTCAGGATGAAGTCCCTGCTCCTTGGTCTGGCATCCCAGGCCCTTCAGGTGCTGTCTCCTCCCCCGCACCCCCGTTCCCTTTTTCCTCTCACTGTCCAGCTTCACATCTGGCCCCGCTTGGCCCCCATGTGGCCTGTTTTCCCAGCCCCACGGGATGGCTTGCCGTTTTCCAGACCCTGCCTGTGCACCCGAGCACCACCAGAACCTTTCCGAGCGCCCAGGCCTGGTGCAGGTGCCACACCTCTTCTGCGAAGCCTTCCTCACTGGCTTTGGGAAGAAATGAGCCTGTCTCTGCCGAGCTCTCTGTTTCTGTTTTCATTCTACAGTTAGGAATTTTATTTCTGTCTCCCCCACTGGTCTCTACCCTCTTCCAGGGCAGGGATTCTGGCTCATTCATCACTGCCTTCCAAGTGCTGGCGCCAGCCTGTCACACATGTTGGATGGATAGACAGGGTTGGGAGCCTGGGGTCCTCTAGACCCCTCTCTTGGGGAAATAGTTCACAGTAGAGGCTTTTGGAATCAGGCTCAAATCTTGGGTTCACCATTTAGTAGTTGTGGGACCCTGGGCAAACTGCACAACTTTTCTCGATGCCGGTCTTCTCAGCTATAAGATGGGGAGACACCACCACCTTACTGGCTGGTTATGACAGTGAAACGGGGTCATTTAGTTAAGGCACGCGGCACAGTATCTTGAGTGGCGTAAGTGTGCATTCAGTGTTACCCTGTGTAATTGGCGGCGGCCGCGGTCCGGATGGGTCTGGGGGGCTCAGGTGAGAGGCCGTTCCCCCTGCAGAGCTGCGTTAAGTCATGCCCATCTGGAAGGCCCAAAGGGAGGCCCAGGCCGGCCTGTCTGGACCCCAGGGCCTCTCTCGAAGAGCTGGACTGCAGGGAGAGGAGGAAGCTCCAGGCGCCCCCCGTGGGCCCTCTGCTGTGGGGGCAGGGCAGGAGCCTGCACTGGGGCGGCCCCCAGAGCCTGGCCCACGGCCTGCCTCAACCTCGTGGTTTACCCCTAGCTGCCTCAGGGTCCAGGGGCCACAGCCCTGCGGCCGTCATCACCGTGGTGACCGTCTCAGCCCTCCTCGTCCTGGGCTCTGTGATGAGCGTGCTGGCCACGTGGAGGAGGTAGGTGGCTGGTCCCGGCCTGGCTGACTCCTGGTGGGCCGTGGCCCTGGGCACACTCACGTGTGCTCATGACCCCTCTGTCTGTGCCTGCATTCGCTCACATGCAGATTTGCCCACGCAAGCACCCTGTGGTGTAGATCCGGGAAGGGCTAGCGCGGTCCCGGCCCCTCCCCCCACTTACTGCTGCTGCGGCAGCCGGCACTGCCTCCAGCTCAGCCCGCTCTGGGATGAAGGGGATTGAGCTCCTTAGCTCATTAAATGTCAGAAGGCATCACTGAGGATGGAATCAAGCTCCGGCTGCTCCAGTGTGATTAGGATTCTCCTGAGGTGCTCAGAGGCCCCCAGCCCCTGCCCGCAAGGGATCTTGAGGCCCTTGAACACAGGCAAAGGGAAGAAAGGCAGAAACTGTGTGTGGGAGGGGGGAGGCCAGGGAGGGGAACTCATTCACCAGGAGGAAGCTTGCAGGGGAGTGGGCAGAGAAAGGGGGCGGGAGGAGGGGGAAGGATGTGGAGCTCGAGTTTGGTTCAGAGAAGATTCCAGTCCTTTTACATGCAGGAGAAAGCTCATAGCATGTATTTCCACCTTCTCCCCAGGGCCACACTCTGCTGCGTGCAGAGGTACCAGGCTGGGGCTGAGGTCAGCAGACTTGAGGGGTGGAAAGTCTGTATGTGATGGGCCGGGGGCGGGGTGGTGGGGGGGGGAGCAGAGGCGAGGGACGGCTGCTCGGGGAGCCGCATCCCAGCACATCTCAGCATCCTGGAACTGCCTGTGGGCTGGAGGCACAGGGAGCATTCACACGGCACTGTTTGCTTGGCCTTGACTAGAGCGCTGAAAGTGACTGAGGAGGGGAGAGCCTTGACCTGGGGGTCTTGGAGCCCCTCTGCCTGGGCCAGGACAGTCAGGGAGGCAGGACAGGAGTAGTAAGCTCCTTTCTGGTGCTTAGACGCCCATATTGGACCTGTTGGGAAAGTAGGAATGGACAGGAGCTGAGAGCTTCTTGTCCTGGCTGGGAGCTTAAGGGCTCAGGGAGGCGGGCGGAGGAACCGGGAGAAAGGGGTATAAGGAGCAGCCTTCCAGGCAGGGGCTGTGCAGGACAGGAGCTGCCCAGGAGCACCTCGGAGACAGAGGCACTAGGGCAGGTCGAGTAAGCCAGGGGTCGGCCTCAAAACCTGCTCAAAATCCCATGGCACGGAAACGGGGAGAATCTGCGGGTCAGGTGCCAATGGGCATGTCCAGCCAGCCTCACAGGCTGAGCTCTCTCTGAGTCCCTGCAGAACCTGCCCTCTGCGGGGGTCTCCTCCCCCTCCGCTTTCCCTCCCCGCCCCATCCTGGCTCATCCCACTTCTCACCAGAGGGTGTTGTCCAGTGGAAGCTTCTCGGTTTCTCTGCCACTCCTCCATCCGCTTGGTCTTGCCCCCTTTCTCTCTACCCACTTTTCCTGGATGTTCTCCTCATTCGTGGGAAGTCCTGTCACCACTCTGGGTGACTTCATTGCCCTTGGATAACCTGTCCCACCCCTTGGCTTCTCGGTTCTTTGACTTCCTCATTCCCAAGGACCTTCTGTTCCATTCCACCTCGGCCTCCCTCTCCCATATCCTGCCATGGACCTAGCCATCACCCCAAATACTCTGTCCGGCTGGCCCTTCCACTTAGGCCCCGCAGGTGCCCTGTCCTTACAGCTTGCCCCCTCGGCCACATCTGTTGCACCTGCTCCTTCAGTGCAGCATTGGCTGCCTGGCTCTTCATGGTCCCCAAGTCTGCACACCTGCCTGTCTCCGCGCCCGTACTCTCCCTCCCTCTGCTCCAGAGGAGGTGCCTTCCTCCTAGTCCTTCCTGCTGGGTTCCGAGCCCCGCCCCTTCTCACCGTCCCAGGAACCCTACTATTTCTAATGTCCCTCTCTGCCCCACGTAACAGCTGACATTTAGTGAGTGCTTAGTAAGCTCTGTGCAACCATGCTGTGTCGGGCGGGGCTGTCTTTATCCCGGTTTTATTAAAGAGAAGTCCGAGCCCACCCAGTCCCGCCGCTACCAGGCAAAGGCGCTGGGAAGCCAGTCCCCGCGTGAGGTTCCAGAGCCCATGCTGCTAACCACCGTCGTGACCACTTCAGCCCCCTTTCCCATCCGTATAGAAACATCTCCCTAACCGCGCCCCCTCCTCCGAGCCTCCACACCACCTCTCTCCCCTGCGCCACTTTTTTCTTTCCTGCCTTCCTGTGACTTGGCCACCACTGATTTCCCTTCTGTTTCCCTTTGACTCCTCTGGTGGTTCTTTTGTGATCTCCTCCGGGGCCTCTTTCTCCCCTACCCGGTCTCTAAATGTCGGGGTCCTCAGACTTGTCCACGGTCCCACTTCCCGGGATCTGTCCTCTTCCTGGACAATGCTCACAGCTCCCGTGCTCGTATCTCCAGGGCAGACCTCTCCTGCACCCCCGGCCCCACTCATTTCTACCTCCCTGCTCCCCGCCCCTCCCTGCTCATCCCGTGGGCTCTGCACATTCCCACCGGCGCAGCCTGAGCGTGAGCTTCTCTCCCTGTCCTCGTAAACGGCCCCACCGTCAGTGGTTGGGCAATGCAGAACCCCCAAGTTATTCTGGCCTTCCCCCTCCTCCGTTCTGCTTTCTAGCAGTCTCAGAGCCCTGTGGCCCTGTCACCTAAATGTCACTTGAGCACTCGAGTCCTCTTTTCTCCGGGTCCGTGCTCCCCCTGTAGCCCGAGCCACTGAGCCACCGTCAGCTCCTGCGGGGGGGGGGGGGGGGGGGGGGGGCGGCAGCTGCAGCCAGCATGATCTTTCTAAAATGCAGATGGAGTCATGGTGCTCACCTGCTCAACACCACCAGGCCTCTCCTCTGGGCCAGCGCCAGCAAGGCCTCCCTCAGGGTCCCCTAAATGCCGGTTGCGGGCTCTGGTGATGGTGACGCAGTTTTTGGTCCATGGCCACCTCTGCCTCAGGAAGCCCTCCTTGGAGGCCTGGGACTGGTCAGGCCCATCTGCTGTGTGTGCCTTCTCCTCTGCTTGGACCTGTGAGCGGGCTTGCAATGGATGCTCAGCGCTTGTTTACCTGGCCAGACCCCCGGCTGTCCCTGACTGCATGGGCCACCTGATTTGCTCAAAGTTTAGGGGTTCAAAGTCAGGGGTATGGATTTGGGTGCCTCTGGAGTTGCAAGAATGTGCATTGTGTCTCAGAGGGAAAATAATTAGGAATGTGGGTGGGGATGAGGGGTTAGGTCTGGGGCTGGGGTTCCGTGTCAGCTGTGGGGAGGAGCTCTCAAAGCAGGACAAGAAGGTCCCTCCCCTAGGGCACAGATCTTCATGGTTTTGAAGGGCTAAGGAGCTGCCACCCTGGGTCTGGTGAGAGGCCAAAGTCTGGGGCTGCCTGGCTCAAAGAGTGACTCTGCACCTCCCCAGGTCCTGCCCCTATGGCAAAGGAGGTCAGGACGCCCATGACGAGGAGGAGCTGTATTTCCACTGTGAGTCGTCGCTTGCCCCTGCTTAGCCCTCTTCCTTGCTGCCCTTCATGACCCCTCCCACCCCCGGCCACAGAACCCCTTCCTCCAGCCCATGTCTGTCTCTCCCCGCATTCCAGTCAAAGTCCCGACGCGCCGCACGTTCTTAGACCCCCAGAGCTGTGGGGACCCGCTGCAGGCTGTTCATCTGTTTGCCAAGGAGCTGGATGCAAAAACCGTCACACTGGAGAAAAGCCTTGGAGCAGGCAAGCTGGGCACCCAGGAAGCCTTGTCCGTCCCAAGAGCCCTCCCCTTCCCTCATCCCCACCTCTGCCCTCCAGGCCCTCCCCCATTTCTGGAAGCCCTGCCTTCACCCCAGTCCTGGCCTGCCGAGGAGGCCCCAGCTCCACACCAAACGGGACCTCCCCCCACCGGGGTCCAGGGAAGGGGATGGCAGAGGAATCTGTGATCCTGCCTTCCTACCCTCTCCCGTTCCCCATGGTCACCGAGGAGGCCTCCCCACCCTAGCCCTTTCCCCGCTGGCCTGCGCAGACTGCCGCCGGCGGAAGTATAGTCCCAGGCCTTCATGGGGGCGGTGGGGAGGAGCATTCACAGACTTGGGGACCAGACGCGCCTGAGGTCTAGTCCTGGCTCTCCTGCTGACCAGCTGTGTGTGCCTCTTCTGCTCTGGACTCGTTCCTTGGCTGTAAAACGGGCACGATAGCTCCTCATGCAGAGCGAGGTGGGCACTGCGAAGCCCATGTCACGTCACTGGGTCTCAGCTTGCCATGAGTCGAACTCGGGAGCCCTGAGCCCCAAGGCCAGGAACAGCCTGTGATCCCAAGCTGCTTTCTCCGCTGCTCACCGGGCTGGCTTGGCCAGGGGGTGGCCTCCAGGGGACTGAGGTGCTCTGTCCTCACAGGGCGGTTCGGGGAGCTGTCCTTCGGCCGCCTGCAGCTCCCTGGCCGCCAGGAGCTCCCCGTGGCCGTGCACACGCTCAGGGACGGCTGCTCCGACTCCCAGAGGCTCAGCTTCCTGGCCGAGGCCCTCACCCTGGGCCAGTTCGACCACAGCCATGTCGTGAGGCTGGAGGGTGTCGTCACCCGAGGTAGGGCCGTGTGCTCCGCAAGGATGGGTGGAAACACGGTGGGAGGTGGGGTGCTCCTATGCCCCCAGGCCCTTCCTCCAGCCATGGGACGGGGAGCCCCTAAGCGGCCCAGGTTGGAGAGAGGGTCTCAGCTCTCTTTCACCGACTCAGGGAGACCCTTCCGACCTTGAATGACCTTTCTGACCGGTATTGACCCTGTCGGGGGTGGACCGCTTGGACCTTGGGTGATCTTCCTTAGCAAACCCATTGCAGCTCCTAGACCGTGGCCTTTGTCCTCCTCCAGATGTCCTCTCTTTTGTTCTTTGGCATAGAGGGTCCTGGGCAGGGGTGCGGCCCGCCTGGGGAAACTTGCTTCCGGCCGTCTTGGCTCAGGCTGGGCCCGGGTGGGGGGAGCATGTGTGCGTGCAGAGGGGCGCAGGCAGCTTAGCGTGTGTGTCCCCATCCCTGGCACAGGAAGCACCTTGATGATTGTCACTGAGTACATGAGCCATGGGGCCCTGGATGGCTTCCTGCGGGTGAGTGGCCTGGGTCCCGGGGAGTACCTCTGACCATGTTAGTTTTCGTCCTTCACTTTTCTCTTTGGTGGGACTTGCACTTGGCATCGTTCCCTAAAAAGGGGCCCACTGGGGGCGCCTGGGTGGCTCAGTTGGTTAAGCGACTGCCTTCGGCTCAGGTCATGATCCTGGAGTCCCGGGATCGAGTCCCGCATCAGGCTCCCTGCTCGGCGGGGAGTCTGCTTCTCCCTCTGACCCTCTTCCCTCTCCTGCTGTCTATCTCTCATTCTCTCTCTCTCTCAGATAAATAAATAAAATCTTTAAAAAAAAATAAAAGTAAAAAAAATAAAAAATAGAAAGGGGCCCACTGGCCAGGCCCACCTGGTGGGTCCCAGGGCAAACCCAGAGGGGGCCAGGTGACTTCGCTGGGGTCCCACAGCCCCAGGGAACTGCATGTTCCTCCCACAGAGGCATGAGGGCCAGCTGGCGGCCGGGCAGCTGTTGGGGCTGCTGCCCGGGCTGGCGTCAGCCATGAAGTATCTCTCGGAAATGGGCTACGTCCACCGGGGCCTGGCGGCCCGCCGTGTGCTACTCAGCGGTGGCCTTATCTGCAAGATCTCTGGCTTTGGGCGGGGCCCCCGGGACCGAGCAGAGGCTGTCTACACCACCATGGTGAGGGTTCCCTTCTCCCAGGCAAACCTGCCCATCAGACTGCACCAGGGTCCCCGTCACCCACTGCTGCCCTCTTCCCTGCCGTGTCAGGGCCACACTCCCTACAGCCCCGCCCCTCCCCCCACTTGGCCCCAAGTGAATGCCGGTGTGGGCATCGTTATGTGCCTTCCCCAGAGGTGCAGCTGGGAGGATGGCAGGTGGGGCTGGGGCTGGGGCTCCGTGGGGTGGGGAGCCCTGGAGGTCCTCGGGCCAGTCCCCTCTTGCCCCTGACCTGCTTGCCTGCCCGCAGAGTGGCCGGAGCCCGGCACTGTGGGCCGCCCCTGAGACGCTTCAGTTTGGACACTTCAGCTCTGCCAGTGATGTGTGGAGCTTTGGTGTCGTCATGTGGGAGGTGATGGCCTTTGGGGAGCGGCCCTACTGGGACATGTCTGGCCAAGATGTGAGTGACCTCGGGCCCCAACTCCCTGACCTCTGTCCATTGACCCTTGACCTCTTAGCCCTAGGCCCCTCTTCACTGTCTACTTGCTTCCGGTCCTGCCTGGTCACTGCCTGAGTCTTCCTTGGGATGGGATGTGTGCATGTGTTGGAGGGACTGAAAGCTTCCTGTCTGCCCCTAACCTCCATGGCCCAGGTGATCAAGGCAGTGGAGGATGGCTTCCGGCTGCCACCCCCCAGGAACTGCCCCTCCCTCCTACACCGTCTGATGCTAGACTGCTGGCAGAAGGACCCAAGTGAGCGGCCCAGGTTCTCCCAGATCCACAGCATCCTGAGCAAGATGGTGCAGGACCCAGAACCCCCAAAGTGTGCCACGACCGCCTCCCCCAGGTACAACTGATGCCTCTTTGTGCCAGGTTCACTCCCACCTATCCCCAACTGCCAGGTACAGCCGGCCTCCTGCCTCGCGGTGAGCGGGCTCCCCACCTGTCCACCGTACCTGTCCCCACCCCACCTGTCCACCGCACCTGTCCACCCCACCTGTCCACCGCACCTGTCCACGCCACCTGTCCAC